ATGTAATCTGGAAGCCACCATGAGTCTGGCATGGTCTGTACCATGATAAATAATCAGTCTTTCATGGAGCTCACTGCCTAGAAGGTATGTTTCACAAACAAGACCATACAATAAGAATGCAATGAAGCACACTGGATAAGTGAAGTTAAAACAAATAGAAGAATACAAGAAATAAGACTTTAATTTAAAAGAACACACAACAAAAATTTATTAAGCACATACTAAGTGACAGGCACTATGCTAGGTGCTGATGATGCAATGTTTAGGCAAATAAGACTTTTCCAGGCTGGGAGACTGGGGGAGGAAAAATGAGTGATCCAGGCAGAGGAAAGAGCATGTGTAAAGGTCAAGAGATGCAAGAGAATAAACTGTTCCAGGTATTGAAAGCAATTTAATATGCTAAGTGTCTCTCCCTCTGTCAGACTGGTTGCTATGATGCGCACTGACCACCAGGGGGCAGAGGCTCAAGGCAGGAGCTGCCGAGCTGCAGTGACTTGGCAGTGGTGGTTCTCCCGTGACACACCCCGAAACCAGAGAGGAGGGAGCCTGATTCCTCGTGGGGCCACGTGATCCCACCTTCAGCCACGTGTTATGTTGTTGCTGGGGCACTGTTGGCCCCAAATCTGGTTTACTGCACACTTGCACTTGTGTTCCACACCCTGTACGACAGCAACTTTGCAGAGTGCCCTCTCACATTCTGGGATGTGAGATCCCCTCGGGGGATGTCAGAGAGCCAGTTCTGGCCCCACACCCACAAGCCAGGCTGAGGAACCCCACCTGCCAGAGGGACCCCGCTCACTCTGCAGATGCCTTTTGAGCCACGCTGGCCAGGGAGGGACCACGGGAGGTTGGCACTGGGCCCCTAGTTAAAAAATAAAAAGCCAAATCAGAGAGGGGAAGGCAATGTTAAAGAGTTTGGACTTTAGTCTAATGGTAAATTGGTCCGTTAGGAAGAAGTGTGGTCATATTAGTGTTTTAAAACTAGTTCTTTGATTCAGTGTGGAGAATGAATTAGAAGTATGACTGAAAGAGAGAGCAAATAGGAGACTGTCACATCATTCTAGATTAAGAGGTTACTATGGTCTGGATTAGAGCGAGAATAGAGAAAAGTAGATTATTTCAAAGAAATTTAGAAGAAACTCTAATTGTTAGGAATTGGAGGTAATTCCTTCCTTTACTTGTTTCATAGTATTTCAGAATACCTAGTATGTATCAAAGCATTATGCTATACCGTAGGAGATACAATGGTGAAGACAGATATAATCCCTTACCCTGATGAACTTTATAGTAAAGAAGGAAAGACAGATATTAGACAAATAATTACACAAATAATTAATTACAACTGTGATAAGTCCTTCAAAGGAGAAATACTGCATGCTTTTACAGGAGAACCTGATTCAGTCAGACCAATGCTAGAAATCAGAGAAACCTTGAAAAGGTTTAAGTATATTTACAATGTTGCACAACCATTCCCACTACCTAGTTCCAGAACTTATTCACCACCCAAACAGAAACCCTGTGCCCAGTAAGCAGCCAGCCCTCCCCTCCCTGCCATTGCCCCTGGCAAGCACTAATCTGCATTGTCTCTATGGATTTGCCTATTTGAAGATTTCAAATGAATGGAGTAGCAAACTATGTGGGTTTTATCTCTGGATTCTTTCACTTAGCACAATGTGTTCAAGGGCTATCCATGTTGTACCATGTATCAATACATCATTCACAGTTATGACTGAATAATATTCCATCGTAGGGATGTAACATATTGTGTTGATCCATCCATCAGCTGTTGGACATTTGGGTGGGTGGTTTCCGATTAGAGCTAATATGGACATTCATGTACAAGTGTTGTTTGAGCACATTTTCAGTTCTTTTGGGTATATACCTAGAAGTTGAATTGTTGGGTCATATATGTTAACTCTATGTTTAACTTATTGAGGAACTGCCAAACTGTGTTCCACGGTGGCCAAACCATTTTATATTTCCATCAGCAATGTATGAATTTCTCCACATCCTCATTGATACTTATTGCCATATTTTCCATTCTAGCCATCTTACTGTGTGGGGGATTATGTTATAGCTTTGATCTCAATTGCCCTAATGACTAAAGACATTGAGTATCTTCTCATGTGTTTATCAACCGTTAGTATCTCTTCTTTGAAGAATGTCTAAGTCCTTTGCCCATTTTAAAATATAGTGATTTTTTTGTGGTTGGGTTGTAAAATTACATATTCTGGATACTACATCATTACCAGATATATGATTTGCAAATAGGTACTTCCATTATTTGGGTTATCCTTCACTTTTTTAGTAGCATCCTTTGATGCACAGGTTTTTAACTTTGATGAAGGCCAATTTATCTATTTTTGCTGTTTTCATTTAAGTTATATTCAAGAAACAAGTGAAATCCAAGGTCATGAAGATTTGCTTGTATGTTTTCTTTGAAGAGTTTTATAGTTTTAACACTTAAATGTAGGTAAATGCTGCATTTTAAGTTGTTTTTTGTATGTGGTTTGTGGTAAGGATCCAGCTTCATTCCTTTGCATGTGACTTTCCAGTTGTCCCAGCACCACTTGTTAAGAGACTGTTCTTGCCCTGGCCAGTGTGGCTCAGTTGATGGGCATCATTCCATGCACAGAGAGGTCGCTAGTTAGATTCCTCCTCAGGGCCCATGCCCTGGTTGCTGTCTCCATCCCCAGTAGGGGGTGTGTAGGAGGCAGCCAATTGATATTTCTTTCTCATTGATGTTTCTTTCTCTCTTCCTCTCCCTTTCTCTCTCTCTAAAAAAAAAATCAATAAAACTGTTCTTTTACCCTATTGAGTGGTCTAGACCAGTAGTCGGCAAACTCAATAGTCAACAGAGAAAAATATCAACAGTACAACGATTGAAATTTCTTTTGAGAGCCAAATTTTTTAAACTTAAACTATATAGGTAGGTACATTGTTATTAACTTAATTAGGGCACTCCTAAGCTGGTCTTTGCTAAAAAATGTTTCATTTTATAATAATAAAGCCACCAACACAAAATAATTACAATTCTTAAATTGATGACAAAAATACCTGTAGGATTTGCAGCTGGTTGGAAAAATACAGGTAGCTTTATGCTTCGAGTAGGTACTTTTGTCACCCACGCGCGATTTGCGGATGCGACTAGCACTAACCACTGCACATGAGACTGCTGACTGACTGGCTCACTCAACTTGTGCATGAATCGCGCGCGCCTCCCCCGCGCTGTGTATCCCGTGGCCCGCCTGCACCTTGTCTCCCGACAGACACCACCCATTTCTTCTAAGGCCACTTCTTCAAAATAGACTCACCCAGGCCAAAAACCGACTTCTGCTCATGGGCTACAAAGTTTCAATCGCACTGTACGTGCGCGTCCGCACGTGGTATTTTGTGGAAGAGCCACACTCAAGGGGCCAAAGAGCCGCATGTGGCTCATGAGCCGCGGTTTGCCAACCACTGGTCTAGATACCCTTGTTGAAATCAATTGACCATAGAAGCATGGATTTATTTCTGGACTCTCAATTCTATTCCTTTGATCCCTGTTTATCCTTATGTTAGTACTACATTATTTTGGTTACAGCAGTTTAATAGTATGTTTTTGAAATTGGGAAATGAGAATCCTGCAAATTTGTTCTTCTGTTTCAAAATTGTTTGGGCCCCTTGCAATTCATATGACTGTTAAGATTGGCTTTTTCATTTCTGAAATAGATTACATATATATTCCATCGTGATTTCAATAAGAATTGTATTTAATCTGAAGATGGCTTGGGGGAATATTGCCATCTTAACAATATTTGGCTTCCAAAACATGAACACAGGGTGTCTTTCCACTTATTAGGTCTTCTTTAATTTCTTCAATATGTAGTAGGAAGTGACATTTAGGTTGACAAAATTGTGCAGTGAGGAGGAAAGGGAGCGACCTGTGAGATGACATCTGGGCTAAGGATTCAGGCGTCTGACACAGTAGCTGGTGACACTCTATGTGGGAAACAAGGGTAGAGATGCAAGAGGACACATTGTTGAGTTTAGTGTAGATGTACTGAGACTTAGTGCCTGTGAGATATTAACTCAGAACATTAACAATTCTCTTCAAAACACCCTTATTTCGGTGAGAATGGATGTTTTGGATTAAACATGACATTTCAAACTTGAGAACTCTTTTTCAGATTTTTTGTCATCAAAGAAAGAATATGTTTGGTATAGTTTTGGTATTGTGCATTTTATTGCATTCAGTGATCCCAAATACATCAATAGACTAATATATATTTACATTAAGTAATTAGAACCTTATTAAAAATAATGAATGTCCTTAAATATTACTATAAGAAAAAATTTTTTCTTTGAGTTTTAACATAGAATACAGTTGAGGTTTCCCTACCTTTGGATAATATTGGCCCCTTTATACTTACCAAATAATTTTCCTTTTAAATATTCGGTAACTAATGGCACAAGTCAAGTACAGTATACTTTTAATTAAGTGTGGAAATATTTGCTTACATACTTCATTCTTATTTATCTCATGCCCTTTTCCCGACATACTGCCCTCCACATACAACATGTAAAGTACGTGTGACAGGTGACACTCAGCTCCCTGTCAGGTCATCTAGGAGGTGGACAGATTAAAATTAATGTTGTAATGACGTAGTGCTCAGGTCATTGCATCACTAGCAAAGGTTAATTTTGCATATTTATTAAGACATTATTTAATATTAGCACCAACTGTTTTTACCAAAGACTTTTTTCATATTATTGTCCAAAATGTTTATAAAAGGACACCATATTTTAAATTATTCAATTTTTAAACCAATATGTAATGAGTGTCTTGAACTAGATGAATAAGTCTCAAGGTTTTTAAAAATCAAACTAAAGTGAATATGAAGCATGGCCTTATGGCAAAATATCAGAGTGATAATGATTAAACAAGACCTAAACCAGGTCCCCATCCTACATTATTGTAGTCATACTGAATAGTGACTGTATATAATGAGAAACTGTCTACATCCTATGAATACTATTAATGACAGATTTTTAAAAAATAAATGGCAAGAATACAAATAGCTAATATCAGTAAAATGCAGTAGTGTTCAGGCTCTTAATTCAAAGTCAATGGACAGAAAAGATAAGAGATTTAGGGGGGTTTAGGGGAAATAAGGAAGCGCCAATGGAGTGGTTACTCTGAAAACAAACACCTGCCACAGGCAAAAAAATAAAATGGCAATTAAGTTGATTGCAGTACTTTAATGTTTTAAAGAAAACTTATTAAAAATACAGATTTTAAAAAATCTTACATTCTTGACAGATATAGCATCACCTGCCTTTCTAAAAATAGTATGGTAAACACAATTGCAGAAATGTCTGTTAATCAGTGGTACAATATTATGGATTTAAAAATCCTGACACACTCCTATTATCTGCTGTTTTGAAGTCAGATTATGGCCTGGAATTTACATCAGGCTGGGTCCAAAGTGGCATATTGGAACCCAGGCCAGTATCAGTAAACTGTCCCTATTTTGGCAGAACTTCTCCAGCCAAGAGAGGATAAATAACAAAGAAAAATAACCTACCAATTATTTGAGAGACCAAGAAAGGTAAGGAAATCAGTTTTGTAAAAAACACGTTTCCCTCTTTTTTATAAGTTTCTTTATTTACTCCAGATAGTTAACAGTGTTTAATAGTGAAGTAAGTGGATTTTACACTCACTATTACTGTATGGGTAGAAAGAGCCACATGCATTTTTGTTTTTGTAAGTCATCTCTGATCTCTGCAATATGGCACATGAGAACAGAGATTCAGAGGCACAAAGTTAATATATATCTTTAACATTGTCAAGGATTCAAAAATAAATGCAATCAAATAGAAAAAAAAATCAGTTTAACATTTTGACCTTTCCCAAGGATGTGAAGAATCTTTTCGCATGTCAGAAATCTCTATAGCAAAGATTCCTATGAGAGAGAAGAAAATTGTGCACATTAATATTTTTAATTCAAAGATTTCACCATGTATAAAAATATATTCTAATATTACTTCAGGAATACTTAAGATTTTTCCCAACTTCTGTGAAGAAACACAGATACAGTGTATATTTCTTTTGCTCAGTTTTTACAAATGGTGATACATCCATATCTTGGAATCATAGTCAACAATAAAAGGGAATAGATTATTATTACATACAACTTGAATGGATCTCAAGAACATTGTGCTAAATAAAAAAAAATCTATCTCAAAAAGTTACATAGTATTTGTGATTCCATTTCTATAATATTCTCGAAATGACAGAATTATAGAGGTGGAGAAGAAATTAGTGTTTGCCAGGTGGTGGGTGTGTGCTTTAACTATGAAGGGATATCACGAGCTATTGAGTTCCTTGTTGCTTATGGAACAATTCAGTGCCTTGATTGTGGTGATGAAATATGGGTGGTGTGTAAAAAAAGCTGCACACACATGAGTGCATGCAAAAACTGGTGAAAACTGAAAAAGGCCTATGTTAACATTGTACCAATGTTAATTTCTTGGTTTGTAAGATATTGTCATTGGTAAACTAGGGGAAGGCCATGGGTAACTCTCTATAACTATTTTTGCACCTACCAGTTATACTGTAATTCTTTCCAAACTAGAGGCCCGGTACACGAAATTCATGCACTGGGGGGGGGGGGTCCCCTCAGCCCAGCCTGCACCCTCTCACAATCCAGGACCACTGGCTCCTAATTGCTCACCTGCCTGCCTGCCTGATTGCCCCTAACTGGCCTCCCCGCCAGCCTGGTCATCCCCAACAGCCCCCCTCTGCTGGCCTGGTCGCCCCTAACTGACCCCCCCCCCAGCCTGTTCGCCCTTACTGTCCCCCCCTGCTGGCCTGGTTGCCACCATCTGCTGGCCCCTACCAACCAGGTTACTCGTAACTGCATCACACATGCCGACATGGTCTCCCCTAACTGGCTCTCCTGCAAATAAAGTCACCTGCAACTGCTATCTTGTTGGTCT